GGGTCAGGTCCTGAGGGTTCAGGTTTTACGAGTCAGGTTCTATGGGTTAGGTCCTGTGGGATCAGGAGCTGTAGTGTTAGATCCTGTAAGTCAGGTCTTATGAGTCCTGTGCTGTGGGTCAGGTTCTGTAGGTAAGATGCTGGGGGGTCTGGTCCTGTGGGTCAGGTGCTATGGGATCAGGTTCTATGGGTCAGATGCTGTAGGGCAGGTTGTATGGAGTCAGGTTCTATGGAGTCAGGTTCTATGGGTCAGGTGCTGGGGGTGAGGTTGTGGGTCAGGTTCTGTGGGTCAGCCACTGTGAGAACACAAGCAGGAAGGGAACATTTGAGCCCCACACCAGCAGAGGTCCCTCTGCCCCACTGAACAGGCACTATTGGGGACACTGGGCTACCAGTTCAGGTCAGTACTGGAGGTTATGGGGCAGATGCAGCAATGGGTTCCATGCATGGAAACCCGCTCAGTACCACTGGGGTCACACTCACTGCTCCCCACATTGTTCCCATGCAGCCCCACACGTTCCCCTCCGCTCTCCATCCATCTCATCTTTATTTAACGTCATGAAAAAAGTCCGGCAAAGTCCTCAAATAAACACTTCTCCGCTCCTACGGCTGCGTGGGCCCAAAGAGGTTTTATTCATCATTTTCTTTTCTTTAAAAAAATAGAAATTCCCATCGGACAGAACATCCCACTCACGTCCCCTAAACGGCAGTGGGTTCCCATCGGGGCCACCAGCACCCATGGGTGCAGAGCCGGGACACGGAACGCGGGATCTCCTATTCCTTCCATTCATTCATAGAGCTTAAAATAAGATAAAAGCCATCGGAGCTTCGTCGAGAGCGTTCTCTTTGCACCGACATTCACAGGAATAGATATAAGTTATGTTTGATCTGTTTTATACACAGGGTGGGGGGACGCGGGCAGATGAACGCATCCACGTGGAACGGAGCGCACATGGAGAGCGCGGCCCCATGGGGCTGGAACGTGGGGTGAGAGAGAGGGGTGAGGGTTAGGGGGAAGGGGGAAGAGGGTTAGGGAGTAAGGGGGTAAGGGGTAGGTGGTAAGAGGGTTAGGGATAGGGGTAAGGTAAGGGTAGGGGGCTAAGGGTAGGGTTATGGGTAGGAATTAGGGGCAGGGTTAAGAGTTAGGGGTTAAGCGATAGGAGTAGGGGGTAGGGTTAGGGGGTAGGGGTAAGAGTTAGGTTTATAGGTTAGGGGTTAGGGTTAGGGTGAAGTTTAGGGGTGGGGGTTAGGGGTCAGGATTATGGGTTGGGTTTAAGAGTTAGGGGTTAGGGTTAAGAGTTAGGGGTTAGGATTAGGGGTAGGGTTCTGGGTCATAGGTTAGAGGTTACAGTTAGGATTAGGGGTAGGGGTTAGGGTTAAGAGTTAGGGATTAGGGTTAGAGGTGGAGTTAAGGGGTAGGGTTAAGGTTCCGGCGCTCCATTCCCATCCCTTTTGACACGTACCACCAAGACCCCTGGGTTTGGCTTTGGGATGGCAGCACTGCAGGGCCCCAAGCCCCTCCTTGTGAAATCCGCTCCATCCCTTCAATAAATAACTCAACGAGTCCGTTCCTATAAAGAGAACTGAAAAGTGCAGGTTCCCGTGTTGGGCAGTTGAATTATTGGTATTCAATACTTCCACTCTTCCCATGTGGGCTCCTCTCGCTCAGAACCCCAAATCTCTCCCACCAGGGTTCATCCTTCCCCAGTTTAAGGTGCTTTCATGCTTTCTTTGCCGATGAAATGAAGACGGCGACGCTGACGTTGACAAATCCCAAAGATGAAAAAGGCAATTCTGACTCTTCCCTTCTTGTCCACCTTCAGGATCCGGGAGGGCAGGAAACGCGCGCGGCGCATCCCCGGTTGGCACTCAGCACTGGGACGCTCAATGGGTTCTACCAACACCGGGGGGCAGAATTGGGGCTGACGGACCCACAGATGAGTGGGTGAACTCCGCCGTGAGTTGGGACACGACGCTACAAAACCACACGGCTGCAAAACCCCACGTTTCTCCAAATCCCATCGCCTTCCTGGCGACTCTTCCATGGTGAGGTTCGCTCCGTGTCCTTCCCTATGAGTTCCGCTAATGGGGAGCACCGACCCACAGCCCTCTGGTTCCGCTCCCCCGGATCGAGGACGAGTCGGTGCCTCGCACCTCCAGGAGCATCTCCTCTCCCAAGTGGAGATTTCACATTCATTTCACGGCTACGGCAAAGTCCTTTTTGCTTTTCCTTCAAAGGTGCTTTACATTCAAGAGCTATTGCAATCCAACACCCCGCTGTCTTGGGTTTGGTTACACGATTTAAACGGACGGCCCCAAACCTCAGGGTTCAGTTCGTCTCCGGATTTGGGGCCGGGGAGGGGGCTGGCAGCTCCCAGCCTTAGCTCTCCCGTGGGTCGCTGTACTGCAGCTCCGAGTTGAAGACCTCCTTATAGAGGGGTGGGAAGTTCATGGCCGTCTCCGGGTGCAGGAGACGGAAAAATTCCAGTTTGTCCAAGTGCAGGTTGCAAATAGTCTTCATCAGGGGCAGCTTGGAGACCATCTGCAGGGAAAGGAGGAGCAGTGAGTGCACGTTCCCAGTCATTGGCCATAGAGTCATTGAATGATTGGGTTGGGAAGGACCCTAAAGATCCCAGAATCGCAGAATGGTTGGGTTGGAAGAGTTTGGCAGAACTGTAGGACCATAGGATGGGTTGGGAGGGGCCTTACAGATCATACAGCCGTAGGGTGTTGGGTCGGAAGGGACCCTAAAGGTGACTGAACCACGGGATGAGTTGGTTGGAAGGGATCTTAAAGGACATGGAGCCATAGGGTGGTTGGGTTGGAGGGGGACCCATAAGATCACAGAACCATAAAATCACAGCATGGCTGGGCCGGAAGGGGCCTTAAAGACCCCCACCCCTGCCATGGGCCATCTGACCCCCACCAGCCCAGGGTCCCTCCAGAGATGGGGCACCCACAGCTTTCTGGGCACCCCACACGCTGCCCATCCCCATCCCTCTGTTCTTTGGGTTTTCCCCCAGCCGGGCTCCCCGCAGCACTGCAACCTTTGAGAGCTTGTCCTCAGCGGAGTGTTTCTTCTGGATCTCGTGCTGTAGGGCCACGTAGATCTTGTCCTGGAGCTTCTGCACCTTCTTGGACTCCGTCAGCCATGGGCGGTCTGTGGGGATGGCCAGGTCAGTGCCATGGCTACAGCTCCACCCCACACTCTAGAGGTGCCCACTGCTCTTCCCACCACCCTTCCAGATCCTTGGGGTGGCTTTGGGGACATGGGACGACCCCGCACCACCCTCAACCCTGCCACTGGGACAAAGCTCTTCCACCCACCGACATTTGGCAGATGTGTCTGCTATACATGTTTTCCCCACCCGCCTTTCCCCCAAAAATAACAAATCATTTGGGATTTCAGGGCCTGTTCCCCTCAGCTTTGGCCCCAGACCCCCCTTGTGCCCCCCACACACCTGGGGAGAGCAGCACAGCGGCAGTGAACAGGGCGAGCTCCTCATCTGACAGCTGCAGGCGGCACAGGGTCCTCCCCAGCTCGAAGACGGCGCTGATGAGGTCATCGCATCCTATGGGGGGACAGGGGGACATCACGGCTCCATTGGGACCCCCAACCCACGTCCCACCCCAATGGCTCCGAAAGCTTCTGGAGATGCTCCTCCCCTGTGTGGAGCATCTTTGGGCTTGGGGTTGGGGTGGAAGATGGGTCCTGATCACAATGGGGTCAACCTGATCTCAAGAGAAGGTTGGGGTTGGGGTGGAATATGGGTCCCAACCATGATGAGGTCAACCAGATCCCAATAGAAGGTTGGGGTTGGGGTGGAACGTGGGTTCTAATCACAATGGGGTCAACCAGATCCCAATAGAAGGTTGGAGTTGGGGTGGAATATGGGTCCCAAGCACAATTGGGCCAATCTGATCCAAACAGAAGGTTGGGATTGGGGTGGAACACGGGCCCCAACCACGATGAGGTCAACCTGATCCCAACAAATGGTTGGGGTTGGGATGGAGCGTGGGTCCTGACCACAGTGGGGTCAACCAGATCCCAGCAGACTGTTGGGGTTGGGGTGGAGCGTGTGTCCCGACCACAATTGGGCCAACCTGCTCCTAACAAACGGTTGGGGTTGGGATGGAACATGGGTCCTGACCACAATGGGGTCAACCCAATCCCAACAGAAGGTTGGTGTTAAGGTTGGACTGGATGATCCCGGAGTTCTTTTCCAGCCACAGGGATGGATCCTTAGGGATCCCAGCCATAGGGATGCCGTGTTTCACATGGGGGCATCCCCCATCCGGGCATCCAAAGGAGGAGGGTGCCCCAAAGAGGCCCCGAAGCGGATCTCACCGAGCGCCTTGAACATCTGCACGCCACCAAACTTCCCCTCGAAGAGCACGGTGTTGTTCAGGGGGTTGAAGGCTCGGATCATACGGAGCAGGAGAACCTCGAGGCAACCTGGCACAGGCAGAGGGACAGCAGGCGAGGGAGGGGAGGGCAGGGGGTTCCATCATCCCACAACCAAATGGAAGAGAGAGAAAAGCCCCCCGTGCAAGTTTGGAGTCCAGATTGTTCATTCCCAAGAGCACAGCAGTTAGACAGATCCAATGTGGGTTTGGGGTTTATTCCAATAGGTCCCATTTGGGTTTGGGATTGGGATTTATTCCAACAGATCCCGTTTGGGTTTGGGTCTGAATTTTGGGTGAATTCCAACAGATCCCGTTTGGGTTTGGTCTTTGGGTTTATTCCAATAGATCCCATTTGGGTTTGGGTTTGGGGTTTATTCCAGTAGATCCCATTTGGGTTTGCTTTTGGTTTTTGTTGTTGTTGTTGTTTGGCTTTCAGTTGTGACCCCGATGTTTCACCAAAGGGAAATCTCTGCTCGGGGCAGCATTGGGGACGGCCCTTACCGGCTTTGAGGAGGATGATCTGGTCGTTCTGGCAGAGCTCCATGAAGCCATCGATGCGCTTGGCGAACTCCACCACGTACTGGATGGCGTTGGAGATGTGCAGCGAGCACTGCTGCCACATGGCCTCACAGCTCTGCGGGGTCAGCAGGGACAGCCCTTAGGGCTCATTGGCACCCGGGGCATTCCCACCTCCCACCTCCCCATTGGTGCCCCCAACCCATGATCCACCCCTATGGCTCCAAAAGGCTTCGGAGATGGGCAGAGGGGTCCCTGCGTGGAGCACCGCTGGGTTTGGCTTAGGATGAAACACGGGTCCCAATCATAATGGGGTCAACCAGATCCCGACAGAAGGTTGGGGCTGGGGTGGAATATGGGTCCTGACCACAGTGGGATCCATCTGATCCCAACAGAAATTTGGGGCTGGGGTAGAACGTGGGTCCTGAGAGCAGGGTCAATCTGATCCCAACAGAAGGTTGGGGTCGAGATGGAACGTGAGCCCTGACCACAGTGAGGTGAACCAGATCCCAAGAGGAGCAGAAATGTGCTGTGTATTAAGAACAATATCCAAAAGAGTGGTGATGCACTGGAACTGGAGGAGGCGGTGATGGGGTCGCCATCCCTGGAGGTGTTCTGAGCTGTGGAGACGTGGCACTGAGGGCATGGCAGGACGCACTGAGCTTGGGCTTGGGGGTCTGAGAGCTCTTTTCCAACTGGAATGATGCCATGATCCTATGATGGATCTCACCTTGCTCTGCAGGGCACGGACCTCCTCTGGGGAGTAGAGGCTCCAGGCCAGGTGCTTCAGCTCCTCTGCTGTGTACTGACAGGTCTCCAGGTGCGACTTGACCACGTTTTGGGCGATCCGGTCTGCGAAGCAGTGGGGATAGAATATGGGGGAATGGTTTAAAGTGGAAGAGGGGAAATTTAGGTCAGATGTGAAGGGGAAATTCTGTGCTCTATAGAGGTGATGCCCTGGCACCGCTTGGAGCTGTGGGTGCCCCCATCCCTGGGGGTCTCCACGGAGCCCTGGGCAGCCTGAGCTGCTGGAGGGCACCCAGCCCATGGCACGGCTGGGGTTGGGTGGCTTAGGGATCCCTTCCAACCCAACCATCTTACAGTGCTATGATCCTCAGGTTCTCTTCCAACCAACTCATTCCATGCTTCTATGATCTTTAGAGTCCTTTCCATCCCAACCATTCCATCATTTTAGAATCTTTATGACCCCTCCCGTCCCAACCGTCCCGTTGTTCTATGATCCTTACGGACCCCTCCAACCCAATCACTCCACAGTTCTGTGACCTTGAAGGACTCTTCCAATCAACTCATCCCTCACCAATCTCAAGGACGGAGATGTCCCCAGCCAGCTGGCTGCCCTCCAGCGCCCCATGTGCAAACAGGGCTGGCTCCAGCATCAGCTCATAGATGGATTCCTGTTTGATGAGCGTGGCGTCGGCCACATCCAGGCTGGACTGATCAGGCGAGGGCTGCGCCGAAGCCAGCAGGTCGAGGTTGTAGTAGGTGCTGCTGCCATCAGGAGTGAGGGGGAAGTCGAAGAGGAGCCCGTCAGACAGCGTGGAGATGTCATCCAGGTCTGAGAGGCCACTGCTGACGCTGGTGGTGTAGATGCGGCTCAGGGGTTCGGGCTCATCCTTGGGGCCACCGCTCTGCTCCTGTCTCTGCTGGTGCTTCTGTACCTCGGCGTAGAGGCTGTCCCGCTGCTTCTTGGACATGCGGCCAAACTTCACCGCTGCAGGGGGTGGAAAACACAGCGGTGTCATGGAGTCAGCACAGTGGGGTTGACCAGCCCTCTGTCGGCCCATTGGTGTGGGTTTGCAGTGGGGTTCTGTGCCCTCTATTGGCCATTGATGGGGTTCTGTGCCCTCTATTG